CTTCTCTCTGCCCCTCGCTAGACTGTGCGTGTGTGTGTCTTTGCTGCGGTGACAAGAGTGGGGATGGCTGGCCGTGTGCTGTTGGTGTGTGCCCTCTGCGCGCTGTGCTGCGGCGGCGGTGTCGGTGCGTGGGGTGGCGGCTACTGCACGGAGAGTGACTGGAGGGACTTGAGGGCGGTCGCGAGGGACATGAGCGAGGCGGAGATTGAGGGGCAGTACTGCGGCCGCAAGCCGGAGTTTGTGCAGCGGCTGCGGGCGAGTCTGCAGGGAGAGACTGAGGAACGTCAGGATGGGAAGGCAAACACTGTCACCGATACCGACGAAAAAGCTCAACAAGAAACGCAAAATGAGCAGCGTAGTACGGGCGCACCTGGAGTATCACAAACTGATGGCGCACATTCAAAAAGGGGGGGAGACTCGGGGAGGGGACAGTCGTTGGAGTTGAAGCAAGTTTCACCACCAGGGAAGGACGGTGCAGGAAGCACTTCCCAGTCAGGCGGCAGCACAAGCCCAACCGAAGATGGAGCAACGCGTACGGACAAAACAGTCTCCCTCCCGGTGCCAGCATCACAACCAGCGACTCAGTCAGCTGAAGGACAAAAAAGGGATGTTGGCGAGCCTACAACGTCGGTGTCTTCTCCACCAACGAAGGAAAATATGAACGTGGGAGGAAGTGGTGAAAGGAAGGAAAAACCGAAGGGAATTGCGGCAGAACAACAACAAAAAGCAGCAGCTTCTCCACCGTCTCCGCCTGCAACACCAAACGCACCAACACCGCCGACCGGGCAGTCAGGGGAGGCCGAAGAGAAAACGACGTCGGCCGACGGTCAATCAAAGGCGAATGAGGGGAAAGGAGGAGAAGCGCGAGTTGAGGACGTCACACAAAACACTCAAACGACAGTTGTTGGGGGCCACGCGGGGGCAACTCAACAAAATTCCCCTGCGGTTGGTGGCGGTGCTGCCAGCGGTGAGGCTGAAAGGCGCGCGGTGGACGATGCAGCGAAAGGCGGTGTGGAGGGAACAACAGCAGCGCCAGCCACCATCAGCGTTGGCACTAATGCGGCGAAGCCGGTGCCCGGCGACAGTGACGGCGGCAGCGCGGCCTCGCACTGCACCTCCCCCGTTGCGCTTCTTCTGCTTCTTGCGTGTGCGGTGGCTGCTGCGATGGCGGCGGCGTGAGGGAGCGGTGCGCAGCTCGTCCTTCGCTTAAATATATATATTTCTCTCTCTTTGTGTGTGTCCTCCCGCACGGACTGTCGCCCTCGCCCCACCCCACGAGGCACACACGTAATGTGCTCATGCATGCACGCACACTCATGCAGCCCGTTGGTCCTCCTTTTTGTTTTAATTATTTTGCTGTTGAGGGGCCGCTGCCGTCCTGCTTGGCTGCATGGGTAGAGCACCGTAACTGCTTTAATCATTTCATTTGTTTTGGTTTTGATTGCTTTCGGTGGGCGGCCTTTCTTTCCCTGCTTCTTCCTGGATTGGGCTGTGCGGGAAG